CTGGGTCCTCCAGATCCTTGAGGCTTGCAGTTGGTACTGTCAGGATGATGTTGTCTGTAGCCAGCTCTCCCCAGGGGCACAGGTTATCCTGGATACAGCTCTTCCACTCCTCTAGGGATGTTTTACCTGGAAATATATAGCATGGAACCTGCCACCCATTCCCCCTTGAGCAGTGGCAGAGAGAGAGAGAAAGAGAGAGAGAGACAGACAGACAGACAGACACAGACACACAGAGAGAGACAGACACACAAAGAGAGACAGACACACAGACAGACAGAGGAGTGAAATTCTAGAAGGAAAGAACTGAACCAATGACTTGCTATCATTCAGGTCCATAGGCTGTAGGTGAAGGTCAAACTGCTAGACGCCTCTCCATTGTACCCAAAGTCTCCATAGACAAGGTTGATCCTACCCCCTGCCTACAGATTCATGTTCAACAGTTCTGCCTTTCTCCCTCTAATGACCCTTGTTACTCTCTCTCTCTTCAATAACAACCCCATAGTCACCAGGACACCTGGAGCTCAATGCTCAGTCCACTCACCTAGCTTGTAGTACGGGGCAGGCACTGCCTTCTTGATAGTAACAGAGACAGGACCAAGCTGACAGCCTTTGGGTACAATGATGTAGAGGAGACCACCCCAGAGGCAGGAGACTGACCGTTGAGTTCTGTCCATACAACACTGGTAAGTTACCACAGGGGCTCGAGACAGCTTCCTGGCCTTGCTTAGGTCATCAGTGTGACATCCAATCTGTACCTGAACAGACAATCACACCACATGAAGGGAATTTGAGGCCCCAAGAAGCATGTAGGGTTTTGTTAGGGGCATATGGATGGTGGTGATTACATATGAAATCCTAACTTCCCTTTTCTGTGAAGGATACGTGTAGTCTATGAGACTGCAGCACTCCAAAGTCTGTTGGACTCAAATGTAAGTTTAAGGTTTATTTAGGGATGTAAAACAGTATAATAGTGAATTTCCATTTGATTTGAGTTGGCTAATTACTAGGTGTAACTGAGTAGGCACTCGTGGAGTCTCACTATCAGGCAGAATCCTGGGCTCTTCTATCAGACTTAAACAGCAGAGTGACGCTGATGCTTTGTGTGATGCAGGACATCTCAGGCTACCCATTGTGAACAGATACAAGTCCATCCAGATGCTACCAAATTGAGCCAGGAGGCAGAGAACTCATCTGCTCTCCTCTGTCCAGCTCACCCTTACATGCTCTGTGGGGTTGCCTCTTGGCCTTTGTCAGATAGAAGCAGATAAATCTGTTATCTCAGAATGCCGATATAAAAGCCCTTAAACTGTAGTAGGAAATGAAGCTCAGAACTGAGAGGGCAGAAGAATTTAAATTCCCATGGAAGTCATATATTTTCATGATACAGGTTATGGGACTAAACAACACTCTTTTGGGTGTCAAGATGAAGAGGTCAAACTCCGGCCTCTGCTACCAGGAAAACTGGTGAGTACTGGTAAGTAATAATGTCGCTCTTCCTTATCCCTCTAAGTAGGTAAAATTGTCACACATGGAAATCAGTCTTAGGAATGAGCGTGGGTCATCAGTAGTTTGGACTTTCTGCTGTTCCATCTATAAGAGGGGCAGAATAACTTTCTCCTGGGCTCTCTGGTGTGGGAGAGTCTTAGCTATGTTTGGGGAAGTGCTGGTTCCCAGTGTCTAGCCTTACCTTCAGGCCAGTAGAGGCAGCAGCTTCAGAGAGAGAGACCTCTGCACTTTGACCTTCCAGAAGGTAGAGCCCAGTGCTCATCCAGGTGTCACTGTTACCTGACAAGTCACAGAGAAGGCTGAGTTGTGTTCCTACATGGCCTGACTCTACCTGGAGCCTCCCACAGATGCAACTTCTCCCATGAACTCCAAATCATCCATCCTCACTTCCTGTACCCTTTCCTCCTTGGCCTTAATTAAGCAAAATCCCAGCTCCCATTGTCTAGCACAGCATGGAGCTATTCATTGTGAGGATCAGAACCTTCCAGGTTCTGCAAAGTTAACCAAACCCACCTTCTCCCAGGCCAAGAATACTCGGAGCATTCCCTGTCCATTCTATACCTGGGTTGGTTCCACTGATCTCCACAGTGATGGGATGCTCTGAGGGACAGAGATTGGAGGAGGAGGTCTGAGTGCCAAGGCCCTGGGCTAGCTGGGAGCAATCAGTCCCAGAATGTGCCAGCTCTGTGGCCAAATGGAGCATTGCAGCCTCACAGGAGTGACTGGAAACTGGATTTTTCTTGCTCACAGCTGGGAGGCCTGCCTGTCTCAACATCTTCCTCAGCAGCCGGTGCAGAGACATATAGGCAGGAATTCCCTGTGCAGGAATCTGTAGGAAGCCTGCAGCATCTACTCCCAACCTTGCCAAATACTTCTCTTCCAAGTTCCCACCCTTATGGTTCAACATAGCCAGGAACTCAGAGAGAGCCCTTCGAAAGTGGTAGTTCCTTATCTCTGTAGGAAGGACAGGGAAACAGTCTTGGCTGAGGGTCCGAGGCAGGATGCTGAGGCCAAAGGTGTTGAGGATAACATTCCCAGGGAAACCTGCCAAGGCAGAGCTGCCTGTGTTCTGGGAAGCCCACCACCAGGACTGGCCACCAATGAGCAGCCCCCCGCCCTCAGAGACAAACTCCTGTATTTTCTTGGCATCCCGATCATTATAAGCCCCGCAGCAGTAGACACACACGTCACTGGTCAGATGAGACTCCAGGCTGCAACTCAAGCCATGCTCCAACAACAGGGAATGCAGATTATTGAGACTTTGGTTCACCCCAATATTGCCTCTCTGGTCTCTGGCCAACCAACGTACAGCATTGAGCAAAAATGGTTCCATCTGAGGAGCACAGAGCATGGCCTCATGGGCAGCCAGTATCACACGACCACGGCCATAGTGGGCAGCTGCTAGGAAGCAGCCGAGGGAGGTATTGAGCCCCAGAGGGAAGGCCAGGGACCCATGCACCAACAGCTGTGAGGGGACACCTCCAGTCTTGATGTCCAACTCAGAGATCCCATCCAGCAGCTGCTCCTGGTCACGCCCGAGCTCCTCCCAACACCTGGGAAGAAGATGAGAGAGATGAAGAGCCCGTATTCAGTTAATGAGCCACTCACTATAGCCCACCAAGTAGAGAAAGATGACATAGTTGACAGCGACTTTCCTTTCTTACCAATAGTATTTTGGGGTTTAATAATGTGTGTCTTATCAACATAATGCATTTTTTTCTTTGTCTCATCATTAATCACATATCATCATTCATATTTGCTCTTGCTTAGCAGCACATAAAACACCAGTGTTTCTCATAACTGAGGCTATCATAGATGTGAAGAAAAGAGTGGCAGTGATCTTATTCATAATACCCAAATCCACATTCTCCAGATGAACCCCTCCAAGAATTCTTGACATTAGTCAGCCAAGCGAATATTCTAGCTCAAATTTCATATCTTGAACATTATCAAAGTGTGTAAACAAAGCTGGAAAATCTAGCATATTGGATGGAGACAGCACTCTTCCAATGCTTCCCCTGGAGTAATCTTCAGATACAAGATGAGAAATAAGACTGTAGAAACATCACACTGGATTCTCGACAGGTTTGCTCAGAAGCAGGGACATGTTACAAGTAATTTTTTTTAAACTTCTACTTAATTTATACAGCCATATATCTTTTTGAAATTCTTACTTAGGGCAGGTGAGATGGCTCAGAGGGTAAAGGCACTTGTCACCAAGCCTGATGACCTGAGTTCAATCCCTGGAAGAAGAGAACCAACGCCTGAAACTACTCTAAGACATGTGCACCCCCACACACACACACACACATACATGCACATCAGACTCAAGCACGCGCGCGCGCGCGCGCACACACACACACACACACACACACACACACACACACACTCATTGAATAAGCAAATACAAAAAATACTTAAAAATTCTTATTTAAATCTGATAGTATTTACCATTTTTTACTTAGAAGTGGTCAACATAAAAAACAAATTTTTAAAAGGTTTTTTATTTCAAAAATTAAAAAACACAATTTCTAGATACATTAAGTATCAAACAATAAGAAATGGATTGAATAAATCATGTTAACATTATATAGTAAGTCAGTAATTAGACAGTATTGGGAAAGGATTAATAGAATGTAATGTAGACCCTCAAGAGACTAAGTCAAATTTTAAAAATGCTAAGATCCAAAAATCATAAACTAGACATTGAAACAGAATCTAACCCATATTTGTCAAAATTTATCTTCTGGGATCATCTTGACTATTAGAGTTATGGGTCATTTAAATCATTTTTGTATAATTTTATCATTTCAACTTTAAAAACAACATACTTTTAAATAAAAGTACAATATTTCTAAAAGTAAAATTAGTTAGCTCATTTAATTACTGTAAGGATGTGGTGATATTTTATTTGTGCTGAAATGTGGTGATATTTGTGCTTTGATAAACAAAGCTTGCCTGGAGAACAGGAGGGAAAGGCCAGCCATTTTATGTAAACAAAGTCAGGCAGCACACACCCTTAATCTGATCACTTAGCAGGCAGGGTCTCTGTGTGTTCAAGGCCACACTAGGGAACAGAGCCAAGTGTGATGACACATGTCTTTAATCCCAGGATCAAACATAGAGACCTAGAGGTCTGTACAGACAGGAAGTGGCAAGGAAGTGAGGTAGCTGGGTTAAGAGCCAATGAGAGGGCAGAAAAGCAAGGCATATAAAGGTGTGGGTAGACAGGAAGTAGCTCACATTTAGAAGCTGCAGGGTTGGTGAGGTAAGGTTGGCTGGTGGCTCTCCCTATTTCCCTGATCTCTAAAACTTTCACCCCTATATTTGGCTCTGTGTGTGTGTTTTTTTTTTAATTTAATAAGACCATTTAGAAATTTGTCTACAGAAGAAAGTACATCTTGTGCCATTTCTTCTTAATTCCATATCAGTGCAGAACAAAACAAATATCGTGTCTCAATTTCATCATCTCATTTTCAAAGAAACGCAGCAAGTGTCATGTGGGCTCAGGATTCAGGTTTTTTTTTCCTCTTTTAGAGGCTCAAGCCTTATTCTGAGCCACCCTGACACTGAACAACAAGAACTGATAATAAAACAGGCCACACTCTGTGAAATCTCAGCTGCGGGCAGAAAGCTTTCGGCATAAGGAGTGGGAATGACAGAAATCAGCTACATGAAGGTATGGATTTTTTTCTTGTACACAGCTGCTATGATCCAGGAAGTGGGTCACTCAGTATTTTGACTTGTCAAAGTGTAGTCATTGTATTCTGGCAAGGTAACTAGATAATCATGTGCAAACTACTTTCCTTCTCCAAGCCACCATTTCTCATCTATTTCTGGGAGTTTAAAGAGATCACTAATGCATTAGCTAATACAGTGTCTGATATATACAGTAAGCCTTGAACTTGCTAGTGGTTATTTAACAAATACAAATACATTAAGAAGATCTGATTTTTTTAGGGACTCTGTACCTCATAAACAAGGAACATAATACTGGTCATTGTTATGGTCTGAATTCTGTCCCACCCCAAATTCATGTTGAAGTGTAGACGGCAGTACCTCAGAATGTGATCTTGAGTGAAAATAGCACCATAGCTAGCTATAAAACCATATTCAAGTAGGGTGTCTCATTATGGCCAGTCCTTACAAAGCATGGAGACCGGAACACTGAACATGCATTCAAGAATACCAGTGTCAATGATGTCACTAAGATGATGCCTCTAGATGCCAAGGGACAGGCCAGCAAAGATTGCCATCAAAACATGAATCAGAGGAAGGCACTGTACAGTTTTTCCCACATGACCAGGCAGGATTAACCTACAAATATTTATCTCAGATAATAGCCTCTAAAACCTATCAGATGATCAATATCTATTGCACCAGAAATGTGCGGCACTTTGTTATAGCAGCTCTAGCAATCTAATACAGTCCTTAGCTAGGTACAGCTTGTACCTTAGCCATGTACAGAATTGTTAGCAAAACCTTCCATGTCTACCTGCTCATATGCTATTTCCCATTCACAGTTTTTAATTTTCCATTACCTACAGTTGGTTGTGAGGCTTTTTATAGTACTTTGATTCATTCATTTCACACAAATTCTTACCTGGAAATGGTCAATATTTATGGATTATATGAAATACAAAACTATTAACTAAGAACCATGCTGCCTACAAGCTGAGGTCCTTGTGTGAAGATCTTTCTACTCCACAAGACGGTGGTGAGGGTGAATTCCTACAAACAGGTACATCAGCTGCTCTTGGTGCTAGGAGGGGATAGACCTTTATGGATTTATGACCCTCTCTTCCCTTAGGCAGATAAAGCTGGGTATTGCAGAGGACAATCACCTTGCTTTCAGGACCTTTCAGCAATGATTTGCAGTTAAGGAACCTGTCAGGTTGGTGGAGGGGGGTGCGGGGGCGGTTGGCCAAAACCTCAACTGGAAGGCAGAAAGAAGTACGGCAGAATCTAAGCTAGGGATCTTTTCAGAGTTCAGAGTTTAAAGGTGTAGTCAGCCCTCCTCCTCTGTTTCCTGAAACTCAGTTGTATACTGCCTTCCATAATGCAAAGTTCTCTGCAGAGCTAACACTGGGCCACAGGCCACCCTTTCTCTTGTTATAGATAGTTGTGCCTCATGTTTTTCATTCATTTATATAGTTTACGAATGTTTGTTAGCCTCTCCCTTTGCACATTTTGAGCACTTAGAATTGAGGGACTAGGATTTAGATTCCCTGGTAGGCAGACAGTTAGGATGGGAGCTATAACTAGGTAATAAAGATACTGAAATTCCAAGATGGCTGGGTTCTTTCTCACCCTCCTGACCAGAGACAACAGCATGCCAGTTTCAAACAAAGGTCTTGTGGGCTTTCCCTCCCACCAGTAGGGGCCCTGCTGAGGAACTGGCTCAACAAGTTCACGGTATGATCTGGGTATGATCCACAGCAGCTGTGGGCAGATCTGCTAGTCCATTTCTCTTCAAACTGACCAACCTGAGCTAGGGAAGAAGTTCCTTCAAAGATTTCAAAAACCCCCAGGCCTCCAGGAGATGCCTCCTTGCTCTGCTCTGTGGAGGGTCTTTCTTCCTGTGTATTTCTGGGCATGTGTGTTTTTTCACCCCTAACAAAAGCCTTCCTTTCGTCTGCTGTTGTCAGCTGTGCTTGAGATTTTTCCCTGCTGCTGTCTGCCATCCTAGGGATTTGTCCTGCCTTTTAAATTTTAACTGACAGAGAAAACAAAACCAATCAAGATCCCAAGGTTGTAACAGAATGAAACACTGGACAGGACAGATGACATCCAGACCTTGTCCAAGCTGTACATTCTGGTAGGCTAGAGACATTAGCAGGTGGCCAAGTGACTAACAGGGAGACAGTGCTAGGTGATGTGCCCAGGAGTTGGGAAGTATGCTAAAGTGAAACTCCAACATAGTTCTGATTTAATAGGGCCGGGAGAGGGCTCCTGTCTTCAGCGTTTTAGTTTCAGTTTGTATAAGGAGGATCTGCATCTTAACAGCTGAGAGTTGTATGATAGAGAAAGCAACTTGAAAGTCAAGTGTTTTATATTAATTGCTTAGATATTTTTAATAACTATATTTCCAAATGCCTTAATACCTTAATTTTTTTTTTTTTTTATAAAACAAGACATTTAATGCTACATGTTATAGTGTTTGCCTTGGTAGAGAATGCCAAACTAATGATTGTAGGGTTTTTTTTTTCTTCCTCAAAGTACAAAACTATAAAATTCTGCACACTCAACAAAAGAAAATAATTAATTAGTTATGGAAAGTTTTGATATTATATTGTGGCTAAAAGTTCTCATTAAGAAGATTCTTTTTAAACATCAAATTATTTTTAAACAGAACACAAAGTAGGAGTGTGTAACGATACCAACAATTGGTTGCACAGTGATTAAAGATGCATGCAAGTAAATACTTTGTGAGAACATTAATGAAAACTCCAAATATTCAATTGCTTTAGTGTCACATTGCTTTTTTTAGTTGTTTTTTTCAAGTTATGAGAAGCAGCAATGTGAAAAATTATTTTCGTAGTGGTTGTCTGTGTTAAGGTCTAAATACAATTGCCAAGAATGATGGGTAGAGTTTAACAGGCATTCAACAACCTACATGTGAACCAAGTAAGAGATACTGTACAGTGGAGAAAAGGAGCAATAAGAAAACCCATTTTGGGTTGTTCCTTTTATTGCTTTGGGCACTCAAATACATGGCATCACTCAGCCAATTGCATAAATGATGCTTAATGAGGTCAAGTAACTTGCACATGGACACAAGGCAAAGAAAAGTGAAAAACTGGGATTCAGACCCAGGCCTCTCTGACTCAGGCACATGACTTTAGTCAAGTGTTTCTTGGCTCTATCAGAAGTACTACCAAAAGATAAGTAAACAGCTAGGCAGCAACACCTCTGCAAACGTATCCTTCATATCAAAGCATAAAATTATGCAAACCCAGAGTGAAAAACTAAAATTCTACTAATATTAATTGATCTTTATGAAATGAATTAGAAAATAACTTACACCTACAGTTCTTTGCAAAAGAAAATCTTATTTTTGCCAGCATAACAAAAATTAGACTGAGATCTAATGACTCCCAATGGATTGTTACTCAAACCTATTAAAACCACTTTTCCAAGTCTTAATTTTTCTCTAAAATTATAAAAATAATACCTAGTGTCATTTTTATTTTTAAAAGTATTTATTAACATATTAGAATTCAATTAATAAATATTGTGGGTATTTTAATTTTTTCGTATTTTCTATGGACATATATAAAATATATATGAATTTTATATTAACAGAAATTATAACATATTCTTTGATTATTTGGCAACTTGCATTTTTGCATATCAGAGCTTTCAAATGTCACTTTGGACTGTCTTAAACAGATTAAAACTATCTAGTCATATCTTTGTTAGCCAAAGGGTAAAAGTTTAGATTAGACAGGAAGAGTCGATTCTAGTGGTCTATCACACATCTTGGTAATGATTATAAACACTGCTGTGTATTTCAAAATTGCTGAGAGGAAATTGTAAATGTCCTCACTACAAGTAATGACAAATATGTGAGGTAATGGATATATCAATTCTTTTAACTTAAGCATCCTATATGTATATAATATGTGTATGCATCAAGGCTTCATATTGTATATATATATACAAATTTTAAATAGAAAACTCAGCATAAATTGTGTTAGCCAGCTTTTTGTCATTATGACAAAATACTTGAAGAATATAATTTAAAAGAGGAATGTTCATTTTAGCTCTTGGTTTCAGCTCAGGTCAGCAAGCTCAATTGTTTGAGGCTGTGCTGAGGCAGAATATCCAAGCTGGGAGAATGCTGTGAAGCAACTCTGTTCATTTTATGGATGCCTGGAAGCAGAAAGTACAAAAGAAAGAAAGAAAAAGGCAGGGAACAAGATACGCCCTTCCAGGGAATGTCTTCAGTGTTCTACTTCCTTGGCTGTGGCCCATGTTCTAGTTTCTACCGCCTCCCAACAAGGCCATCAAATTATGACTCCATTAGCTGATCAATGCACTGGCAAGGTCAGAGTCCTGATGAACCAAAAACCCAGGCCTCCAATGCATACGCCTGTGAGGGATATTTCATATTCAAGTAACAGCATGGCAAAGGTAAAAGGATGGCATCTTAATGTGATCAAGAAGCGTTTTCCTACTGTTAATGGGCTTAATAGGATAAAGTTATTTAAAATGTAATTATAATGCTGTAATTATAGGGAATTTGGTGAGGATTTAACATGTTAAAATAACCATTATCAACTCACTTCAGTTATATACTGCCTGTTATCACATTTGTAACACATTCTCATGTTCATATTCCTACCTGCATATGTACCATTTCCATGAATTTGGCATCATTGTAACAGAATTGTGTATCTTAATGTTGTTTACTGTATTGTGAGTATAATGCTTTCCTTTTGAGGTCTCTGAACATGGGATTTTTAATGGCCACATAATTATTCACTCTGTAACTGTAGTATATACCATACATTATTCAAGATCTTCTATGGCAGACAATATGTGTCTTACTGTGTTTCACTTAATAGTGACAGTATCACTAAGAAATATGTACTGAATATTGCCTCACAGGTCACTTTCTGCCTCTGTCCTGTATTTGTTCTTTTTCCCCATTGAGGATGCTTTATGAGGACTCTGCATACCCGTCTTTGTCTCTGAGGAAGCTTCTTACCCAATCTGTAATGGGGTAACATGGTAATGCTAACAAAATTACACACTCATGCCCCATAAGCCAGCTATCCCAATTCTACAGACACAGTGAGGTTATAAAGATACATATATCAGGACATTATTTGCAGCCCATCTGTAATAGTAAAAATACTGGAAAAATAAAAATTCATACTGGCAATTCAAATGTCTGCCATTAAGGAACTTAATAGATTATATGATATCTACACATGGAAGCACAACAGAACAACAGGGCATCTTAGCACTCTGTTATGTAGCCATACCTAGCTTGATAATCCAGAATACTATTGAACAGAAAGAGTAAGTGAGAAAAGCTGATAGTGTACCACTGCTTTCTCAAAGAGAATACTGATACGTATGCATTTGTCTGCTCATGTATATAAAGAAATATTGCAGCATTAATGAATTTAAACAGTGAGGGGAGAAAGGCTTTACATGTGGGGAGAGAATACAGGTTTTAAATTTTATTTTTGAGCTACTACAGAACTATTTGGCATAATTCTAAAGGTTAAATAGCAAAAGCAAATAAACACGTAACCGGACATTTCCAGGTACCCAGTGGTATAAGCACAAAAAAGGGAACTGTTCTAAAGGGCATCAAAGTTCACTGATCTAACTTCATATAATATCCCTAGGAAAATATACTAGGAGGATGAAAGGCACAGGAAATAATAACTGCTATGGTTTATTGCTAAGGAATATTTGCTGCTATTTGCCTATCTTTTCCCTCTGCCCCACCTTCCTTCCTTCTTTTTCCCTACTGAGAGCAGTTTTTAAGGAACTCCCCAGACTCTATGACTCTGTCCAAGTCAGCTTCTTGGGAAACCCAACCTCCAAAGGGGAACTCTCTATGTCTCTATATATCTTCTTAGGAAGCCAACTGACACAGCCAACTTGACAATGCTAGTAAATACTCCTTGCAGTTCCCATCAGTCACCAATCCCACAGTCATTTTGCTATTGCTAGTACTGTCATTTGAATTTTGCAACTGTTGGGTGTATATTACGGTAAAGCAAGTAGTTCATTATGTTGGTGTCTTACAAAATGGGGAAAAAGCTGACTTTCAGACTCTATACAACACATCATCCTGGACCTTCCAGTACTGAGCCAATCAAGTCTGCCCTTATCATTTTGAGGTTGAACTGCATCTACTCTTCCATTTTCCTTCTCTAACTAGTTTCTTGCAGTAGATGAATGAGACTGAGCACGAGTTGACCATTCTCAGTACTGGGCCACAATTGCCCAGAGGAATATTGTACTGCTCTCTCTATTTCTGTGTATACTTAAAGTTCCATAGAAAATGAAACTTAAAACAAGAAAACCAGAAAACTTCAGGTTTAGGAGCAGAGAAAGAAAATGTAGGTGGAGATGAGGAAAAACAGCTTTCTTTTTTTTGAAAGGGAGAAGTCTTTGAGGCAACTGAGAGAACTACAGTGCTCAGACTTAAGATCAGGAGACATTTAAAGGGCCAGGTCAACACTTAGGGGTTCATGGTTTCTCCTGGAAGGACTACTGTAACTTGGAAAGCACCACAAACAATTTGGGAATACATGGTCATGGCCTTGCTCCAGTAAAAACCCTATTTACAAAAACAGGGGGCTGGCCCACAGGCCTGAGCTTGTCAATCAGACAAGAGAATCAGAGCCAGCTTAAAGCAAATCAGATTCACCTGTCTGTGACTGGTTAACCCAACCCTCTCCGTAGGGAAGGACTCTCACACTCCTTCCCTGGGGCTGAGGGCCATGGGCACTGCTAACTGTTCACCCAACACTGACATTCCCTTTCTCCCTTAGGGAAGGACTTTGATTTCTTCAGAGATGCCCTTTTAAAAATATCCTCAGACCCTTTGGTGGTTAAATTTGACCACCTGATTAAGTTTTATTCATTAAAATATCAATGGAGATCCATGTCAAGACTGCAAGAAAATAGATTATTTTCTAAGTTACAAAAAAGAAAAACAGATAGACCCAACTAGTGTGTCTGCTCCAGGAATCATGCCTGGGTGTAACTAGAGAGCCTGGAGCAGTGCTGGCCATCATCACAAAAGGTGAAAGCAACAAACCACAGTAGAAATGGGGACAGAGAGGGAAGCATGTAGCTGGGGACATCATGGAGAAACTGCCATAACCCTGGGCTGGCTACCTGGGTTTCATAAGATATATAAAATCAGAAATTGTTAAACATCTATAGTAACTTTTTTACATATGGAAAAAGCACAGTTAGTCATTAATATCTCAAAACCCCAAAAATCTAAAATTAAACTCTCAATCCCCTCTACTCTCATTAAATGACATCATCTTTAATCACTATGATCAAAATTATCCATTTCTCTTTTTCATTTCTTGCTCCATATCCAGTCCATTGACCCAGCCTGCTGGATCCTACCTTGGGAGCAAAGCCACAGCCATACCTCTTTCCAGTAGCTCCATTACATCATCCTAGACATGTCATCAGCAGCTCTCATATGGTCTGTTTCAGTGGCCTCTTATGGGTGTCCTCCTCTCCATTGCACCCTATCATCTGTTCACCAACCATGGAGTTCCTTTTGCTGGTCATTTGCTTGTTCACACTTATGGCCATTGTTTGTACTCCGCCATCTCTTGTGTTGCATTTGCCGGGCTCCCTTACCCTAACTCTGGTGAGTTCAGCTAGGGGAGGCAGAGGTTATTTAGCCAGTGAAGCAGGAAGGAAGAAGGAAGGCCCCAAGGTTGGTGGTTTCTTTGGGTTTTATTTCTATTGAACACCAGGTCTTCTCCAGGACTCCAGTTAACACCAGACTGACCTCTTATCAGGGGTCTTACTGCTGCTTGGCAGACTGATCATGAGTTCAGCATCCATACGGTGATCGCCACACCTGGGGCCCAGTAGTGCCACCATTTTCCTCAATCTGCCCTGCTCTTTGGGCTGAGGTCCAGTCCTATGTGGTTTTCTAATATTCTCTCACCTGAACTATGGGTTCTGTTTACTAAATTTCTTCTGCTTGAAATACCATAGAATTCCAACCAAACTGGACTGATATACCTTCCCTGAAGAGGTTAAACAGCCTTTATTCTCCTCCTCATTGTTATATCTCAAGTCATGCCTTCTTCCCTTCTTGTGGCTCCTATCAACATCTGATGGACTTCTTGTCTATTGGTTTGCTTTCCTGCTTATTTTTCCACAGATTCGTAAGCTTCATGGTAGCACACAGTGTCTGTTTTGATTCCTGCTACGTTCCCAGTGTCCAGCACAGGGCTGGGCCCAATTGTAGATGTTCATATAGATATACTAGTGTTTTATGACTCATTTAGGACACTGATAAGCAGTCTGTTTTAGACACTCCATGTGGAGAAACATTGGCAAATAGCACAAGCTTTTCTCGTAAGTGGATAGAAGGGAGTGGCCAGCAGGACCAGCTTTTCTTGTGCCTTGAGGCATTTTAGTGACCATGTTTTTGATTTTGCAGCAGTTAGAAAACTGAATAACAACAATCACTTGCATTGAAATGGAAACTCACTGGAAAAGGAATATCAGCACTATTAAAAAGAATTAGAATCTAGAGCCGGGCGGTGGTGGCGCACGCCTTTAATCCCAGCACTTGGGAGGCAGAGCCAGGCAGATCTCTGTGAGTTCGAGGCCAGCCTGGACTACCAAGTGAGTTCCAGGAAAGGCGCAAAGCTGCACAGAGAAACCCTGTCTCGAAAAAACCAAAAAAACAAAACAAAACATAACAAAAAACAAAAAGAGTTAGAATCTATTAGGGGTCATAGTGGCACACTCACCTGACATGGAGTGGGATCTTTGGTACCTTCTTGGAGATCTTGAACCTATCTCCATCCCCATAGACATCTGTGAAATACACTCCAGCCACACTTGTCACTTGGTTCCCAGGGAAACTGAATAGCACCTTGTCACTGCCGTGTTGACTGGCCCAGTACCAGGCCTGGCCTCCAATGAGCAAGCCCCCACCACGCTTCACAAACTGGACCAGCTTCTCAGTCAAGCTGTCATTGTAGGCATCCGTGCAGTAAACACCCAGAGTCTCTCCAGGTTCAGGCTGAACCAGTGCCTCTATGCCAGAGTCACCTAGGATGTTTACTAGTGATGCCAAGGAGGGATGCACTACAATGGGAGCCCCTGGGGAGGGGCAGAGCCAGCTCACTGCATTGAGAAGAAATGGGGTAAAGCCAGTATGCAACAAGTAGCCCTCATGGGATATGACAACCAGGCGGCCTTGGCCATAGGAAGAGGCAGCAATGAGCACCTGGCCCTTGTCATTCACCATCACTGGGAAGGCGGCCTCCCCGGTAAGAAGGAGTTCACTGGGAATGGATTCTTTAGGAAGATCCCAGCTGGTCACTCCATTCATGAGGGTCTCAAAAGCAGCATCAGGAGCTGTTGCCATGGTTCTTCCAGATGCTGCAAGAGGACACAGAGACCCATGTTGGTCAAAATAGATTGAGGAACCAGAAAAAAAAAAAGGCAAGCAACTAAATGCATTTAGTCTGCAAATTACTAGGACCCCACTTTTATGACTCCAATATATAAGAAGAGTAAAGATGATAAATAAGTAGGATTATAAATAAAAGTGCAGCAATTTCCAGTTGCTGTGTGATGAAGAGATACAGACCAGTCAACTGGAAGACTGCTTTAGACTGAATGACAGGAAAGATCACCTAAGAATGTGGCCTTGAAGCTGAAACCTGAAGTGCTGTGGGAAGAGCATGCTGGTAAGAGGCCCACCAGGGCAGCAGTAGAGTCAGGGAAAGGCGAACAGGACCTGAGGTAGATAAGGAGGTGCAGCTTCCTAAATGGCCTGGTGGATCAAATGCAGGAGTTGACTTAGTGTTTGTTGTATTCCGTCAGACAAAAGAGTAACATGACCTGCCAGAAGCTGCATTAGTTAGGATCACATGACCTGTCAGAAACTGCATTAGTTCTGACAGCTTTCCTCACTGTTGGAAATGACTTCCAAATGATCAAATCTGCCCTAATGGGAAGCAATCCCCCCACCCCCAACTGTGTGGTCAGAGGTCTTTTCAAATCCTTCTGAAGCCTGTAGGCTGACAGCTGAATTCATTCCAGTATTCCCTTCAGTTTTTCCCCTCTCTCTTCTTCCCCTTCTCATTTCCCCAAGTGCCATGGATCATAGCAGGTGTCCCACACAACTTCTCTATCCCCACATCT